CCAAACCATTCTATGATTCTGTGATTCTTCTATCACTTTTATAATGATGCAACTCCATACACTAGAGAATTTAACACCAAAAAAACCCTATTAAATACTTTAATTTTTAGTTTACTACAACCAGACATAGTGAATGTATTGAAAGTTTTCTAAGCTTTGTGTTATACACACACTCGGGTACATACATACGTATTACTCAAAAGATGTTCTGTTAATTCAGCATTCCTTCTGGTCCTATAGCTCTACTGGGATATACACTTGATCTTAATATTTCTTACTTAGGCTAAAATGCATGCAAAATCATTGAGCACTTAGGTCTAGCTGTCTTAATACCTAGAGTTCCTTTACTTCCTTGATTGTCCCTTTAATATAGAGAGGATAATATTTGAACAGCTGAAATTATCATTGTTGTGACTTGAATACTTGATTTGAACTTTTGGGAAAACAGTAGCAAAAGTAAATCATTAAAAAGAAAAGTTGGCAACCAAGTCTAATTCTTCTACATTGTTTCCTTACGTATTTTAAGTAAAAGAGCTGGATCTTTTTTAATTAGCTAATATAAGGTAACTGGGAGTTTTAGGTAATGATGTATTTGAACACTCAGCATGAATGCCTGTTAAAGAGGTGCTTTTGCTAGCTGATAGGTTGCCTGACAAACTCGTTCAAAAACCAGTAATAGAGTGCTGAGCATTACATTCAGGCTGAGGGGTTATGCAAGGTCAGAGCAGAGAGAGGGTTACTGGGTGATTTTCTTCCCTCACACCTCACAACACAGACTGCTTGCCCTATGTTTGAACCACAGGGTCTTTCAGATTACGTGTATAACCTGTGGGTATGCGCATGAAGGTCCATGTTATCTCTCACCCGGTGACTTGACTTGGAAGTCATAAGCATGTTTGTTGGATAATTGCAGGTGTTAGCAGTTATTTAGCTACCTTTCAAAAAGGTTTTTAGAAAAATGGGATAAAAAAAAAATCCTTCTGTACACTAACGGTGCACACTGCCTGCTCTGGAATTGACTGTAACTGAATGTAAGCAGCAGCTTCTGTTCAAATGCAGAATCCTGTACAACAGTCAACTTGTGGACATTGTAGAAACTCCTAAAGCATCTCTGTACTTCACCCTTTGTATACAGTATCTTTGTCAGTTGCATGGCCTCTTTATGACTAAAAATAAATGCAGGTTTGTATTAATTATTTAAGTATTTTTAAGATTAAGTATGTAAGTGTTTCAGAAAATGCTTTTTGCTTGAATTGCTTGTAAATTTATCTCAACAGATGGACGACCTCAATGGGAGGTAGAAGGGAAAATAATGAGGGAAAAGTGTCAAGGGGTGAGAAACAATTTTTCTTACTTTAGAAAGCTTTCTGTTTTAAAATGAGAAACTAGACATCTTCATTGTTGTTCTGAAATTTAGACTTCATTTAGTGAAGTAGATCACTGGCTATTTGAGACAGACAGCTGGAGACTTCCAAATTGGCTTAATACTATAAAGTAGCCATTAAGATGATGCTGTAAAGGAACTGGAAATAGCATCCTTGTTGTGAATGCGGTGAAAAAAGAAATAGAGAAAAGAAAATTGATGATAATTTTGCTAAGATGACAAATAATTTCTAGTGTATTGAAATTTTTCTCAAAAGCTAAATGATCCAAAGTGCAGTTTTTTGACTGCTAGATTTTTTTTTATGTTCTGGCAGATAAAGCATCCTTTAGATGATGTGTCTGTTTAATTAAAAGTATTGCTTTCAGAACATTTTTGTTTAAACGAAGAAAAAAGTCTCCAAATAAAAGTTTGCTTATAGTACTGGTTTACTGTGTAATGCACATGAACTTGAAGTTTACCAATTTCAGAATATCAGTGTGCTCTAGTTTTGCAATAAGTGTTTTAGTTTTCTGTAATTATTAGCAGTTTCATTTGCATTTGATATGTAAAAGATTTTTGTTTCAACTTTTGTACAGGCAAACATCATACTTGAAATCCCTCCATACCATAACAAAGCCATTACAGCTGCAGTTCAGGTGCAGTTTTATCTCTGCAATGGCAAGAGGAAAAAAAGCCAGTCTCAACGTTTTACTTACACACCAGGTATTGAATAAAAAGTTTAGAAGTTGCATTTTAATTTGTGTTTTAAAGTAGACATTTGAAAGTAATTCAGATAGTCTTGTACTTTTGACAGGTAGGTAAGACTAGCTTTGAATTGTTTGTAAAACAACTTACTTAAGCTTGTCGAATTGAAAATCTGAATTCAGAGCAATAAACTACAGTGCTGTGATTACAGCCAGGTATTTTTTTGTTAACACTTTTTACAGAACAGTTTGCATTCTACTTCTTTTTAAGAATGATGCTGAATCTCAGAAGTTGCTCTTTAAGTAACCCTAGTGATGACATGGAGGACAGTGAGATCATAGATGAACAGGTTTTATGCATTTCCCACCACCACCCCAAATGTCAAAAAAAAAAACAACCACCCAAACCAGGTTTAGATACAAAGAAGATTTGGGATAAAAAAAAAAAAAAAAAGCCTGCTCCTTTGCCTGCCATGTACTTTCTTCTCAGAAATTCATACATGCTTAGTGTAGTTAGAGTTCACAAGGTTCCAGTAAATGTGGCTAGAGCCTGTAGTACTGCTTGGAGGATGTGCAATAAGATATCTGATAGAGTCTTTCAAGACAGACACAGATACTAATATGAACTTCCCAAAGCTAATGTGTGTGCTGATAAAGCCAACTTCCATTAGTTTACACGATTTAAAATAATTTTGCTCACTTGTGCTTTAAAATTACCTACTTAACTTCATGTGTAATTCAAGCATGTTAGCGAGGTATGTGGTACGCTAAGTATATGTTAATTGTGTTGTCAGGTTTATGGGGTCTTTTTCGACCATTCTTAAGAATATCAGTTCCTACAATAGTTACAGAATACATCTTAAAACTACATTTTCTACATAACCTACGTATTTAGATTATTTAAATGATGGAATTAAGTAATGACACTGTTTAAATAAAAAGCAAATTTAATTATAACTGCAGCTATTATTGCACAAATGTTTTAAAATCCGTTTTATCTATAAAGATATATAGCAGTTCATTTAACAGTGTATTTTATAAAGTAGTACTTAGGAGTTAAGAGTGTTAGCATTTTTCTACTATTTGTACTTAAAATCAGTATGTCTTCATGAGCCACCACTGTAACAAAGTGTGTCAGTTTGTAGCTGTATTATAAGAACAATTGTTGCCATCACTGGAATTGGGGGATATGCTGAAACAGCTGCTGTGGTTAAAACAACGCACACAGCTTTGACTAGTTCATAATGGTGTTGCTAAAGTTCAGCAGTAGTCTTACTCTGAGGCTGAGGAGAGTTTGAAGCCTGGTAGCAATTTCTGTATATTTGTCACAGGGTAAAAATGGTTTGGGTTTGTAATACAGTGTTTTACTTTTTGCAGTTATAATGAAGCAAGAGCACAGGGATGAGGTGGATTTGTCTGCCATTCCATCTTTGGCCCTGCCTCACACAAGCAATGTTCAGGGCCTGCATTCTATCCGAACTCAATTGCCTTCACCAGAGCAAGGGCATCCTCATGACAATTTACTGTCTACGCCACCCAGGAGCCTCATGTGTCCTGTTCAACCACCATACACAGCCATGGTGACCTCAGCAGTATCCCACCTGCCACATATGCAAGGCAGAAACCTTAGTCCAAGTGAAGAATGTCATGTTTTGGCTCCTGCTGTGGTTCAGTCTTTTCAGGTAACATCAGCTCCTCCAGTGAGGCCTTCTTACCAGCCTATGCAGTCTAATGATGTATACAATGGACAGTCTGGTCTTCCTATGAACTCTGCCTCCAGCCAAGGATTCGATGCTATTTCATTTCAGCAAGACACAGCTGTACCTCATTTGATAAATCTTAGCTGCCAAGCCCTACCACCGATGCAGTTTCATTCTTCAGGCCCAGGTTCTGTGTCAACAGCGAGTACAGCAGGACACCCACTAGCACACCCAGCTCATTCAGGACAGTCATCTTCTCACCTGCCATCGATGGGATACCACTGTCCAAGCGCTGGCCAGGGCTCCATCCCATCTGCAATGAGTCGTTCCCTTGGGCAGTCTTCTCCCCAGCTGCAGCAAGTCCCATATCATTCTACAAATCCAGCATCCGCTTCATCCCCATCCCCAACAGCTTCCCACCCTTTGGTCCACTCACCGCTATCTGGACCTTCTTCACCCCAGCTCCAGCCTATGCCTTACCAGTCTCCTAGCTCAGGACCTGCCTCATCTCCCCCACCAGCTGCTGTAAGTCACTCAGGACAGCACTCCCCTCAAGCACACAGTCCGGCGCTGGGTGGTCTGAATGCAGCATCGTCCCTTGTGCACCACCCCACATGCGATTCATCTCCATTCTCGCCAGATGGGGCAGCTATTAACATTAAACCAGAACCTGAAGATCGAGAATTGAATTTTCAAACAATAGGACTCCAAGACATCACACTAGATGATGGTAAGTGGATGTAATATTTTAATACTGGGACATAATCTACATTAAACTACAGAGTGGGTGTGGGAGGGTTATTTTGTTTTGTTTAGAACACACTCCACTTCACAGCAGTAGATTTGTGTTATCAAAATGGAATCATATTTTTGTGTCCAAAGCAACAACTTATTTAAAACTGATGTAAGTCTGTAGTTACACAGTTCAAGTACTTCAGTCTAATTTGCCCGTAGACTTTGTTTTTGTCATAAAACAGGGCTTGAGGATTAACCCCTACACATTGACACTTTAGGTATAGGAATTAATTTGAAGCTTTTTTTGCTTGTCTTGTTGGTAGGTTTCAGTGAGAGTCATAATAATATATCTTTAGATATTTAGATTAGATATAAGGAAGAAGTTCTTCACAGTGAGGGTGGTGAGGCACTGGAATGGGTTGCCCAAGGAAGCTGTGAATGCTTCAACCCTGGCAGTGTTCAAGGCGGTGTTCAAGGCCAGGTTGTACAAAGCCTTGGGCAACATAGTTTAGCGTGTGGTGTCCCTGCTCATGGCAGGGGGGTTGGAACTAGATGATCTTGAAGTCCTTTCCAGCCCTAACTATTGTATGATTCTATGATCCTAAGTTGCAATAAATGTAGTTGGGAGTCTTGTTTCTTGAAGGGGTCTCAGCTGTGAAGGGCAGGCTAGTTTTTTGAAAATGTTTCACAGACATTTTGTCACTGTCCTAGTCTCTTCACAGACATTCTGTAGATCTGCTGTCATCATTCAGCACCTCTGCTCACAGAGGTTGGTTGTTTTCTCCTTAGCACTCTAGCCACCCTTTTGAGAAATTCACTTGTTTAACACCAACAGAACAAGGGCATTCTAGTGCTAAAGGCCAGGCTGTAAAGCTCTCTGCTTCAAATACTTGAACATGTCCAACCAAGTGAAAAAGAAAGAGAGATCAGATCCTAAACGTCAGACTGTTTGAAGCATAGATGCAAAGCAATTTAAAGAGCATGTCATGTTAATAGGACTGGAAGAACAGAAGGCCTGGCCTTAAAAGGTGTGTAAAAGCTGTTTGGTATTGATGATGGGAATCTTACAAGGACTTCTTTTTTACAGTAGCTTTAACTGTTGTGGTTTGTTGAGTTTGGGGATTTTTTTTTTTAGTCATCCCTAGTAATTACTTAATTGCATCAGCAGTAGTGTAAAGACATAAGTGTAGGCCATCTGTTAAATGTCAGTCCCAGTTCCTTGCTTAAATGGAGCTTTGGTGTTGTCGTCTCCAGTCAGTAGAAGAAAATTAAGTAAGAAATGCTTTTAAAGGAACAGCTTACTAGGAAGAAAATTGGAGAAATTAATATAGTTAGACTTTCAGTTAAATGGCCACCCTAATTAACAAAGCTCTCTTTTTAGAAACACTGTTTATCAGTCAACTTTATGTAGAAAGGAAAAAAGAGACTGATTCTATCAAGGACTTGCTGAGCGGAGAGCAGCAAGGCTTTATGAAACAATGCAATGGAAAAAGAAACAGCGTTTTCTACTTCTGTGCTAGAGAGTGAGAAAAATCAAATGTTTCAAGAAGCGTCACGTTAGAACCTACCTTTTTTCATCCTTCTTCCCTCCACACCCACAAAAAAAAAGGTGTAGAAGTAAGTAAAATACTACTAAATACAGTAGTTAGACTTCTCACAACATAAGCAGAAGTGTTTGGCATTTATGAGCATCTTGGCAGTTTGTACTGGTTCAAAGATTAAAATCAATGGACAGTAGAAAGAAAGCCACTTTTTTTCCCCCCAAAGCACAAAGTCTAGTTGCTTTTATAAACTATTCCCATTGCTTAACAGTGTGACATGAACTAGTTGTTTCTGTGCTGACAAAGACATGGTATTATGGGAAAATGTGCAAGAGCCATACTTAGAGCATGACCACTTCCTAGTAGCTTAGAGAAGTATAATCAATACACGAGTCAGATGGCCGCAATTTCACTGATTTCTTTTTGTAAATAATTCTTGCTATAGAAGTTTATAGTTCAGTCAGCAGTTATCAGATCTTCTTAAACTTTCTATATGGAAACCTGAACAAGGTTTTAAACCTTTTTTTAGTCTGAAACCTACTATTCAAATAATCTTGAAGGGCAGAGTTGACAAGAAACGAGCTGCTCAGTTCTCTCAGCATGAGTAATTCCTTCTTCTGCTTAATCAGCTTTAAATAAAAACCACATTTGGGCAGGAACACTTTTTTATAATGTCTCTAATGATTACTACACTGTAAAAAATAATTTCAAAATTTTTCTTCTGTGTGTAATCAAATTTTAGTTTCTGTACAGATTGAGCTAGACACAAACAGCAAATCAGTTATTCTGCATTAATGGTGTAACACTTACAGAAAAAATCCAAACATAATTGCATGTATAAATGAATGTTAATACAGTATGTTCTCCCAAATAATATATCAAAACTGAAGCTGTATTTAGTTGGAAAGGAGGTTTTTAAGAGTTAGCAATTACGGCAAATAAACCTCTTAAAATAATACTAAGGCAAAGCCAACTGTGAACTGTATAAATCATGTCTGGATTACTGATCTTAAATATTTAAGTCAGTAGTCTTAAAAAAAGTGAACAAAAAACCTCAAAAAAACCCCTGCCAGCATAAATAATCTTTCTTTTAAGTAACATGCATTATTTCCAAATCAGCATAGTAGATATTGTATTTGTTAAGAAAATAAAATATTTTAAGAATATTTAACAAAATTTAAGTGTAGTATGAAAGTGCTACCTCAAGCCAAAATTAGTCCTCGAATTAAAGCTGTATGGCTTGATGGAGTAGGATTTAAAATTCTTTTAAAAAAAACCCATCCAACACATTCTGGGTAGTAGCTGCCTAAATCCTTTTAAGCAAGACTCCTAAAAGTGAATCCTACTGCCTGTTCAGGCTTTTTTCTTCAAAACACACCAAATCCCCATATCCACTACTCAATGCAGAACTACAAAGCTGCTTCATACATAGGTGCTCAAGGCAAGAGCATCTGGATTAGTCTTGATCCAGCATCTCCTGGAAGGTGTAACACATCTGGATTTACCACTTACAGCTCTGCAGAGCCAGGCATGCTTGCTAATGACCAGCATTTTTCACTAGGAGTGAAAAAGAGTTACATCATTTAAATGCAGATCCTCTGCCTGGGTGTCTGCGCAAAGTGCACTTTTTACCTTTTTTTCCCCCACTGGTTTATGTGGCTCTTTCTTCCGTTGTTTTTCAACAGGATCTCATTGATGTCTTTAGGCTTTTCTCATCTCCACCTTGAATTTCGTTTGACTCCCCCTATTCCCATACTTGCTTCCCACAGGAGTCACTTTCTAATTCACTTGAAGAAACAAGGGATCAAAATGCATGAGGACACCTAAATATGAAATTTCAATGATATTTTAGAAAACATTTGAAATATAACACAATTTCTAAGTAATTTCTACTGTATGCTACTTAAAAGGTATTCTGAAAAACAGTACTTTTTTTCTGCTTAGGTCTTTGCAGTAGTCAATCTGCACAAGCTGGTAAACTTTTGGACTGGACAGGTTGTTGCTCTTTATTTGTTTCCTCTGCTTTTCCTCCTCCTCCCGCCCTCCCCATGTTGGACCTTTTCAGGAAGTCTGCCCTCTGCCCAGCTCCTCAGGCTAACAGCTCCCTGTATAGACAGGGAATATTTAGCGCTGCAAATAAGTGTAAACAAGGCAACTGAAATGCCTAGAGTCAGGTAGTTGGTGATCTCTGTCCTTTCCAAAATCCATCATCCATCCTGTGTTCTTTTTGTTGTATGTTCCCCTAAGATACACCTGGCTTGGGGCAGTCGCAGGCACAGCTACAGGTTGGCGGAGAAGAGATTCAGAGCAGCCTGAGGAGAAGGATTTGGGGGTGTTGGTTGGTGAGAAACTGAACATGAGCTGGCTTCAGTGTGTGCTTGTAGCCCAGAAACCAACCGTATCCTGGGCTGCATCAAAAGAAGCATGACCAGCAGGTGGAAGGAGGTGATCCTGCCCCTCTACTCTGCTCTTGTGAGACCTCACTTGGAGTGTTGTGTACAGTTCTGGTGTCCTCAACATAAAAAGGACATGGAGCTGTTGGAGCAAGTCCAGAGGAGGCCATGAGGATGATCAGGGGCTGGAGCACCCACCATGTGAAGACAGGCTGAAAAAGTTGGGGTTGTTCCGCCTGAAGAAGAGAAACTGTGGAGACCTTATAGCAGCCTTCCAGTATCTGAAGGGGGCCTACAAGCATGCTGGAGAGAGACTGTTCCTCAGGGACTATAGCAATCGGACAAGGGGCAGTGGGTTTAAACATAAACAGGGGAAGTTTAGATTAGATGTAAGGAAGAAATTCTTTCCAGTGAGGGTGGTGAGAGACTGGAATGGGTTGCCCAAAGAAGTGGTGAATGCTCCATTCCTGGTGGCGTGCAAGGCCGGGTTGGACAGAGCCTTGGGCAACATGGTCTAGTGTGAGACATCCCTGCCTATGGCAGGGGGGGGGGGAGTCGTCCCTGCCTATGGCAGGTGGGGTAGAACTAGATGATCTGGAGATCCAGATGATCTGGAGATCCTTTCCAATCCAAACCATTCTATGATTCTGTGATAAGGTCCCATTTTTTCCTCACTTCAAAAAAAGGCAAGTCAAAGATAGACTCAGCCTAATTACATGATTTCTCCACTCTGTTTTTGAAGAGTGCTCCTTGTGTGGTGGTTTACCTATCCTGCTGTCAAGTTTTAGATTTAAATCTGTTCTAATACTGTTGATCTAAAATTTAATCTCTTGTGTTTTGCAGTTTAGGAGTGGGTTTACCTTGATTTTCATGGCTGTCTATGGTGATGAGATTTCTAATGTATACAACTGTACTTAACCATTTTTAAGGTATTATGTTAGGCTGTATTCAGCAAATCAGGATGACCTTCTACTAATCCTCTTATATTTTATTACTCATTGCATCTTCATTACATAAATCTGAAGATTAGAAAATCCAGTATGTGGATTTATTATAAATCATACCTAGAAATCCTCTAACAGTTTCGTGTACATAAAGCAGTAAGTCTGCTTTGTCAGACGTACTCCATGTAGAGTTCTAAGCCATTTGCATTGATTCATTTTAATAGTTCATTTTAATAGTTCATAACTCTCCAGTTGATGAATTTTCTTGCTGGGAAACTCAGAGTTCATTCTGCTCTTTGCTAGAAAATTTGTGTGCCTTCACAGATAGATTTTTATTGTAGCTTCAGCTTCCCTTGTGGAGATTTACAGTAGTAATTAATAAGAAAGTATTAGAGAAGGACTGTATTTCTTTCTATATTTTAAATGTGTGCATTAACAGGTAATTTTTAATTAAGGCAGCATCTTGCCAAATGGAGAATTGAAGATTTACAGAAACACAAAAAATACCAAATGCTAAAATCTAGCTTAGTATGGAGGAGAGCAGCTCAAAACCCTATTTTCTTGCTAATACAACTCCAACTTAAGATGTTTGTCTGCAACACCAGTTTTTGGTTTTTACTGTTTCCTAAGCATGGAACGAAATGTTGCATCTTGCAGCATGCCTGGAAGGATTTGTGTGACAAGAACTCTAGCCTACGTTGTACACAGAACCTTCAGGATATTCCTGTTGATAACACACATTCCCAAAAATTACACTAGTATAAATTCTTTAGTAAGATGATAAGCATGACGTGTTGAGGTTGAGTGAGGTGACAAGGCAGAACCTGAAACATGGCAGAAGAGAATGGGAACCTACTTTTAGAAATGAGTAGGTGTTATAAATGAACCAGAGAAAGATCCAGACTGAGCAGTAGATTAAAAGAAAAAGGTTGGAACAGTGAGGAAAGGTGAAGAGGATGTTATCCTCTGACAGCAGTTAAAGAATGCTACAGTCATATCTTTTAGTAGATTCATTCACTGTGTTCATAATGTGTGCCAGCAAGGCACCTGGTGAGGAGACCAGTCAGAGACTGCTGATGTGTAAAGAACTTCAGATAAATCCTCAGCCATCTATGAGCAGCTAATGTATGAAACTTCCTATCGCCCGAAGAGCCACAGAACGCTTTGTAACTGATTCAAAGTAAGCTCAACTGGTTGCACCACTGCAAAAAGATTCCCATTTAAGACTTACAAGAGTAGAAACTTACTGTGTGAACACAGGTGGCATATCTACATCATGGTGCAGACACAATAGTAGCGGAACTAGAAGGCATTAGGCATGCCTTGGTGACACCAGCTAAAGTACACTTAGATGTTTTCATGCTGCCCTTGTCCTCCAGCTACATTGCTTACGCCTTATAATTGCTATGTTAGGCTGTCTATCTTCTTGCATGAGAGAAAGGGTAAATATATGACTGAAATGAGGTGGTTCACTGTGATACATAAATTCAGTGTGGCAACATAATGATGATATGAACAGGGATATTTGTTACTGAACCAAGTAACTGCAGAGCTTGTGCTGTGACTCTGCAGGCACATTCAGCCTGTCTATGTAGCTATAAATACAGTATATACAGGAAAACTTCATTCCTCCTAGCATTTCAAACAGCCTTATTTTATCAGTCAATTAAAAAACAAAACTGAACAAAAAAAGTACTTTTTAGTAAAGTTGGCATTGGACCTGAAATTCTCAAAGAAACCCTGTTCTATGGCTTGGGATGGTAACTTGCAAGGCAGCCTACCATATCCTCAATAGTTTGCTGTTGCAAACACAGCCTGCCATAAGACTGGTTTTGATCACAGACCAGCAGAATGAGCTGGCTGCTCTGCAGCAGAGAGCACTGAGGGTTAAATATAGCCTGGCAGCGCCTTTTGGGGTTTGTTTTTTTGTTGGTTTTTTTTTTTTTTTTTTTTGGTTTGGTTTTTTTTTTTTTTTAGGGAAAGTTGACACTGTACTAGTTGCTGGTCATGTGGAGTCAAAACCAGGCTAAATATACTGCACTAACCCCTGTGACGTAGCTGCAGGGATTCTTCACATGAATGCAGCTGATAAAGTTCCATCTGGAGTTGACAAACAAAGGCTTGTCCCCCAGGAAGTGTGCACTGCAGTCTAGCCATGATGTTCTTTGAGGGTAACTGATCCTCACTACCTGTAGATACAGCAATTCATTCCCCTGTCCTCTGAGCCACACAAACTCCAAGATGGATGCAGCAATACTGCAAAACCTAGACAGTTGATGTGATCTGCCATACAATTATATCAAACTTATTTTTGCAAAGCATATTAAAAACCCCTAGTGCCACTGCAAACAATCTTGCATTCTAGAATATTTTTGGGGTCTACTTTTCTAAAACCAGTACATCTTTCAGGCCAAGTCCCATTACTCACATATCCTGCTTCAGTTCAGTAGCAGTAAAGAAAGGTTAAACTTTTATCCAAGTAGTGCTACAAAAAAGTTAATTGGCTTCTATAGGAATTGATCCTGAAAATTCTGTAACTCCAGCAGCTTTTTGAACTGACTGTTAATAGAACTGTTAATTTTAACTAGACTTCCTGCTTTGACCCAAATCTGGTGGAGATAATTGAGAAATTAAAGTCTTTCTTAGCCTTTCTTTACTTAAGGGAGGAACCAAGACAAAGAAGTGATTCATAAGAGCATGAATTTTTTACCAGTTAAATAGATAGATCTACAGGATGTCAGTTTTCTTCATTTCTACTTCAATGTAATAGCTTTAATTTTAGTGTTATATTCTTCAGGTACAAAACACATTATAGTATTGCTTAAGGAAGTAAAAACCTCTCTCAAATGTTTGTGAAATGAGGTAGAAAGGTATTTTTAATTTATATTTATCTCGTGCCACAAGTTCTATTAACTTCATTGCATGTTGAACAAAATCTTTATGCTATATTGCATGCTTTTAAAAAGCTGTTGCTTTATTTACCATGTTTTACAAACAACAAATATTGGGTGCCCAAGGCAAGTGCATGCTTCATTGCAGAAGGTGCTGACTGGAGATGTGTTACGCATGACACGTTTTGTCAGGGATTTGTAAGAGCAAAACCTTGATGCTGTCAGCAGCTTCATTAGGATATGCAAGAACCTCAGAGTCCCTCTATATAAAAATCGATTAGAAAAATTGCTTCAAATCATATTTCTCTGCTAAAGTGACATATAATCCTTATCATCTAAGCTATACAGACTTCATGGTGCAGAGGTTGTTGCTTACAAGAGCTAATTAACTCCACTGTCCTCTCTAGAAGCTTTTTGTCACTGTTTGTCATCTGCTCCTTTGAAAGCCTGAGATTTAAAGAGAATTGCTGGTAAAAGTTTATTTGTTTTATCCCAAGATAGTTTTCCACTCATTTCACTGGATTCATTAGGTCTTTATTTAAATGTCACTTTCTCGCTGGTTGTATCATAATTAGTGGGGAAAACATTATTTTCTTAATCTGCTATTATTTGGCAAGAATTCGTCCTTTATTTACTGCTTTGTTTCAAAATGGCAGTGGACATTTTCATTGAAACCCAGATAATGCTTTCCACTTCTGTTTAAGTACATGTAACTTTACACTTTAAACAATTAAGTATAAGTCATCATCCAAAGAAGTAATATAAACTGCTTGAATTTCAGGAGGAAGTAAGAATAGACTCTTTCATTCTCTCAGGAGTCACCCATAAGCAGGGCTTAGAAATCATGCCAGCAAAGCAAATGTGCGCTCTACCCAGAAGGCACAAATTAGCCAGCTTTCAGAGTAATTTTGTTAATTGTATTAAAGCCTGATGTACTAAACTTGCAGCTCTCTCTTTGGCAGGGAAAAAACTCAAACCCAAACCCAGCCTTGTATACTGTTGCACGCTCTGCATAGTCACAGATCCCAATTGAACAAACACGTGCCTGATGGTTAAAGTAATAAATACACTATTGTACATGCATTTTTCCTCCAGAAAAAACAGTGGGAGAGAGTACAGTTCTCTAGTTCCTCCCTGATTTCTCACATTGCCTTAGTCTTCCAGAGCCACCTCTACCAAGATCATGCTTAGGTTTCCAACACTTCAGCCTGTGTGTGGCCTGACTGCAGATCAGTACCTGGGGCAAAACGCACAGACAGCCTGACAAGTAAAGGGAAAGCTAATGTGTTTGTAGCAATGGTTGCCTCTGGTGAAAGGGCAGGAAAAATAAAAAAAAGGTGTTATTTGCTAGTACTCTTTTGCCTGCCTTGTTCAGTGGAGGTGCTGTCAGGGGACGTAAGCACATTTAATTTGACCACAGTAAGTAAAGCAGATTGAGAAAATCACAGAAGGAATGTTCTAAACTAACACACATGCTAAAATGAAATTTATGTAGTATAAAATCCATCATGATACAACTAGGCAGACATCCAAAAATATTAACCGTTACCTTTATGGCTCTGGCTGCTAACTGAAAAATAAGTTATATTGTTTTTAATAGGCACTCTGATCATTTATAAATAGTTACTTATGTCGACGTATATAGTAGCTGTGAATGAAAGTGGGTATTTAAAGTTAGTGCTATTAAAAGAAATTTGAAAGTCACTTCCTGGTTGAGTGAACTGTAACGTCTTGGTTTAGTCCAGTCAGTAGTTATGTCTGTCTTCTTCTCTGACACAGACAGTTTTATCTCTGACCTGGAATACCAGCCATCAGGTTCAACAGAGAAATGGACTCAACATTCAGCACTCATGTCCAACTCCTATGTGGAAAATCTAGAGGGTGAGTCTTCTTACTGAAATGCTTCAATGTTTGAAATTGGAGCACGAAGGAAAGGGGAAAGTGTTTTATTAGCCTTAACGTCTACAGATGAACAGCTCTATGTAATACTTAAGTATTGCCATAATCACACACCTGTGTATTCTGAAATAGTTGGAAATTCAGAAGCTGTGAACCAGGTGTACGCTCATTCACTAAAAATCCCCACTGAAAGAATACGTAGCTGCCACAGAAGTTCCTGAGTGCTGTAGGATCTAGTACAACAACAGAAGAGGATATGAAAATCTTAAGCCAGATATGCACAAGGCTGTAGAGTGGCCAGATCAGTTAACTGTGAGAAATTTAGAATGCTTCCCCTTTTTTAAAAAGAGGAAGCAATGTCAACTTAAGTAGATGGAATACAGTGTTGTGCACTGTCAATCCAAGTACTTGGGATACAGACTCATAAATAGATTTCTAGTTAAATGTGCCCTGAAAGGGGAAGGATTGTCTGGATTTATTTTAAGATGCTTTCAGCTTCACATTTCACATGTAAAGGAGATAATTACGCAATGTTTCTCTTTTAAATAATGATATTAGAAATTGATGCATGGTATATTGGTCGTGGTTGTGTTTATATTCATTCTTCTTAAGTGTTTTTCACTTTATTACAAACATGCCTAAAATGCCAAAGAACTATACTGACCCTTCCCTCCCCCACCCCCCCCATATATAAGAACATATAATTTACTTTCCCCATAGATTTTTAAACAGGAATACCTGTAAGTGTACAGTTGATTTGGGATTGTAACCAGGAAAGTGACCAAACTCTATGTGTAGCCTGTGTAAAACTCTCACATAATGAATGTGTAGACTGATCTTAAGTTTGCCCACAAAACTAAAATCACAGTGTTGGTCTTTTACCACCTTTCCAAACAGTGATATAGTTCTGCTTTCCTTACATATCAAAATGTTACTAGTAAAGCGAGTAGCTATTGTTCAGAGTGGCAAAACTAGTTGACATTTCTACATGTTGAAACAGCAAATCAATTAGTAAGATAGCAGTTATGGCTTAGATTATTTCAGTGTTCTAGACTATGTCCTGTGCAACTCATAATCAGGTAGATACAGAATAATTGTTGAAGACCGGTTGTTCTTGAAAAATAAAAACTCAATTTAATAATAAAATAACCCCCAAGTACCAGTATCCTCAATTAGAGTGACACACAGGTTGGCAACCCCCAAATTCGGAATTATGAAACGTACACCAACAGGTCCCTTTTCAAAAGAGCACACACACAGAAGATCAGGCCTGAGAGAAATATGCTTACACACAACTGCTAGCATCTGAGAAACACCATTGAGACATGTGGCACTATTAAAATATTTTAGGTATGCGATGTAAGAAAAATAGTCAAGATAGTGTGGTTACTAATACAAGAGATGTGTTCACTCAGGAATGTTAGTAGAATGGTTCTGTACCTTGAAGAATGCTTGGCAACAAACAGACAAGCTGACTGTATCAACTAGTTCGGAATGCTTCCAGATTCAGCTTTCAGGCTTAAATTAGGAAGAGCATAGCTTCTAAATGATACTGCTGAACAGGCGAGCAACTGTAACTTATCATGTGCGAGAGGAGATCAGCCAATCTGCAAAGACAGGAAATATACTAATGGAGTACTTGAGTCATCCTTTATAGAATGGGTAAGTGTGGTGGCTGCTTCATGGAGCACTAAGTCATGAGAAGAACCCACAAGGGGAAACATCTCTTTATTTGGTCCAAAGGACCATACAGGAACTGCTTAAAAAAAAAATTAAGAAAATAAACCGTTCTTTGTTTAGTAGCAGTTTCAGCATTACAGGCTGTGATGAACTTCAGAAGGGGAACTATAGGAAAGCAGTAAAACTTAAGAAAAAACAGGTGTTCAAAAGGGTAAAGTAGTTGTGAGCAGTATGAGAACTATTTATAATAGTTCAGATGAAGTGTACAACTACTCTGCAGTAAGAGAGACTACAAACTGCTTCCAAATGCAGAGAACAGAAGAGAACATGAAGATTAGTAGGTTTAATGTGTTGGGTTAACCTGGCCAACAGATGACAAATCAGGAATTCACTTAAAGTTAGATAGGTGAATTTAGAAAGGTTTTTGTATTGATGTTCAGAGTTGAGGAACTACAGATCCTCATGCCAAAGTCCTTTGAAAAAGGGACATGTTACAGTATCTGTCAAGTTGAAGTCATAGAATTCCAGGTTGGAAGGGACCTCAAGGATCATTTGGTCCAACCTTACTAGGCAAACCATGACCTAGACACTTAGACTGTATGTCCCAGCACCCTGTCCAGCCAAACCTTCAGTGTCCAATGTTGAGGAATCCACCACTTCCCTGGGGAGATTATTCCAGTCACTGGTTGTTCTGTGTGAAAAATTTTCCTCTTGTGTCCAGTTGGAATGTCCCCAGGAGTAACTTGTCCCCGTACCCCTAGTCTTTTCCATATGACTCCTTGTAAAAAAGGAATCTCCATCTCCTTTGTAGCCACTCTTTAAGTGTCAGTAAAAGGGTTTCAGAACAAAGACATCAACAGACAGTGACAGTTCCTCTCAGCTAAATGATGTGCCAGACAGCGGCTGAGTAACCAGTAGTCAAACTATTATCTATAAAGTATAACCTCTTGCTTAAATATGATTTGGAGCTGGGGGACTGGAAATTGGTAAATGTGACACTTCTGCTGTTTGGAGACTGAGAGAAGTGAAACAAACCCACACTGACTGGAAATCTCTACAAGAAGACCTCGTGATTAAAGAAAATCAGTTAGTTAAAGAAGTGGAAATTAGGGTAAAGGAAGGAAAAAACCCTTTCCTAATTCCGTACATACAGTGACAAGCTCTGTGAACTGTTCTCCTTTAAAGCTGTCTTGAATTTAAAATGCACAATTTTATGAAAGTTTGCTCAGTAGTGTTAAAGGTAAATAAATATTAGGAATATTTAGGAAGCAGAGAATGAACAAATGCTACTCTATAGCTCTGTATGTGCCCACATCTCGCCCCTGATTTCCCAGAAGCATTAGATGCATACATGTTGTGTTGTGGGGTGCTTTGGTTGGGGACACCTAGCCCAGCCACAGATTTGGTACAGAAATAATACTGAACACACTAGGGCCCTGCAGCCAGAAAAATGAATGAGAATATGCCAAATATAATAAAGTTAATGGCTGGCATGGAAAAAGGTGATGGAAAGTACTTCTTGGGGGAAAAAAAATAATAGAAGTGTCCACCACATTACCAGGCAGCAAGCTCGACACATACAAAGCATTGCTACAGCGATCCCTAGTTAAACTTCGGAATTTACTGTCTCAGAATGTTTCAGGTGGCAGAATTTTGCATGGACCTCAAAGACCCCAGGGAGAAAAAGCCAGCTGGAACCATTCGGTGCCAAAGATACTGTCTCTGGCTCAGGAATTCCCTAGAACAAACACATTTTGGAGGTTAGTGGAACATCCTGGGGAAGTTCCAGACACATCATGATGAGTTTTCATTAGGTGTCTACTCTTGACAGGGTTTTGTTGTAGTTATCCATGGAGGTTTTCAGGCAGTATTTTTGACCTATGAAAACCTAAAATGCTTCGTAACTGCCTATTTCCTGTAGAAAGTATAAATGCTGATTATAGATTACCAGCTTCCTGCAAGGGAAAAGAGGTCACTTATCCTATTCCCAGAAAGGCCTGCAGGTTCAGGAGTTGCTTATATTTTCCTTTGTGGAAGTACAAAAAAGTACAAAATACTTTTCTCTTAGCAGTCAGAGATAGTGGGAGTTAAGTACAGAGCAGTTTAGAAGCATGTTTGTATTTTAAAATATTTTATTTTGAAAGATACTGCCTTTACTTCTGATGTTAGAACTTTAAATGCCTATCTTGGAGACCGTGATTCATCTAAATGTGTTTTTATCCTACTGTAAAATACTCAGTGAGGCAGAAGAGGTGTACAAGTTGACTGACAGATTACAGATTGGTCTCATACTGAGAGAATAAATTCAGGCAATATTGTAGAATTGACCAGTGGGGAAAAAAGCATAGCTCTTACAAACATATCAAAGCACTAGTTCCTCTTTTAAGCACTGGATACTCTAGATTTGTGGAGTTTTTTTAAATGTATCTGAAACACTTAGCAACTTCTTGTTAAAAGCACCAGCTTTCATGATGCTGTCATGCTTCATAATACAAGAGCTTCGTTTTGTCCAAGTCAGCTAATATGGATAACTTTTATAGGTGAGATTGGTCAGTACTGCTCACAGGACACATCTCTCAGAACAGCTGATAAGATCACTACCCCTAGCTCTGTGTGTTGCTCACTGCACAGGTGGCTGAGCTGTTCTACCTAATTTTAGTTTACCTTAAAACTCTGAATTGCAAATTGCAGGTTTTAAGAGATCCTCCATGACCAGTCTGGCTGTTCTAGCAGCAAACAGCTGGAACAGTAATTGTCAGCTGTCCCACGCGAGCCTTGAGTGAACAAGAAGCAAAGCCCCTGGCTTTGAGGATAAGGAGGTGGGGGAAGGCCTCTAAGGAGCTGTGACCCAGCTTTCTGTCAAGCTCTGCAGCTGGGCTGTCATGCATGTGTGCAGTCAGTAAGGACTTAAAAAGCAAACAGAACACTGTGAAATCAAAACAGTGGGAACAATCCAGTCAAACAGAATTGGTGGTTGCTCCGATTTTACAAGCTTGACAGCAGATCCAGAAGCTGGAGCTGGTTATCTTTGCTCTGCTCTTCTGCTGGTACTGAGGTTAGTGTGCCGCTTCGTTTTTTGTCAGAGGTTATAGGGGCTTGAGCCTCCAGCTGACCTCCAGGGCTTTTCAGCACAGCACAGAAGAGGAAGAACAAAACAAAAGGGAAACACCACAAAAAATCCCTTTGTGATACAAGACTACAGTATCACTAGTATTGACAGGTCAAATCTAATCTGGCTGTAGCAGAAGGTTTTCTCCCCACCATGTTCAGTTCTGTTCTGTGCAATCTATTTTTAACTATTGGTATAAATTTGCCAGCCAGCTTACACAATCTGTAAACACTGGGAAGAAAAAAGTAAACCTATTGCAAATAAAGTAACAGCTGAAAATCTCAAATTTGGGATAACTGCCAGAGAGGTCAGTTAAATAGACACAAGAAAGTTGTTAAAATCATTTGCATTTCACAACTCCATATAAATAAAATAATAAAACACCCCTGTATTGCTGTTCGGTCCATGCCATTTCTGGCAAACAAGTTCTCCAATTGCTATTACCACTTCTGTAGTGGAAGAATCTGCCACACCTCTATGCAGTATGGCGTGTGCCACCCCTCTGTCTCTTGCTTTGATCCAGCCATTATTTAAGATTAGCAACCTGGCCTGGTAGTATGTAAATCATTTGATAACATTTTTGTTGTTACCTATGCACTTGCCACTGATCATCCAAAACAATTGTAAGTGTGTAAAATCTAGCATGTAACATATTTCTGGAGCCTCATCTCTTTGCAGTAGAGCTCCAGGACATGGGGTTAGCACTCAGACCACCTGACACTAAGCATACCCAACAGGCAGGAATTTAATCTGGGGGCAGGAAGAAGGCAGTAGACTGGAAGAGTCAAGGTCCTTCCCACATAACTATAAACCTCCATCTCAAATCCCATGAGATTAGTTCTCTTTGAAGAGGCAACAGAAGTATGAATTACACAACTAACACAAATGAACCTGGCAGACAGACCATACAGAACTTCAGCAACAAACTTGAGATGTGCATTCCTGAATCCCAGACAATCTCTGCAGCCTTCCCCTAGAAACTTGTGCTGAAGAGAGAAAGGAAATGCTATAAAAAAATAAGGGCGTGTATTAAAAGCACCATGCATCTTGCTTTCCCAGTATCTAGTTGCTATCTGGATGGCTTTTAAGGTTAAACACAAAGACATGAAATCTTTCTAGCTGTGTTTCTAGGACAGCATAGCCCATGCACCCCGTAGTCAAAAATAGGAAAGGTGGGATAAGTGTTCTTCTGGAAGTATAGAAAAGAAATTTTCTTTTGTTTCTAACACATCATTGATATAGCCTGAGCTCTGTCCTTGCTCAGGACTGTTGCAGTTGACTTCCTCTCCCAATTTGTCACCTAAAACCTTGGATTTTACTAGACAACATTACAGAAAACCTATGCTTATGCTCATAAGTTAAGTTTTCAGCTTTAATCACAGACCTCTAAATGTTCTGTGTGGAAGAAAGTGATATATCCTGTATTCAAATGCTAACCTTTGAATTTTTATCTAAGCCTTCAAAAAAATACAATTTTTCTCCATCACAAATTAATACAAAAACGAAAATGCAATAGGTATGTTTTCATCCCCAGTCTTGTACATTGCTTTGCAGGATTTTAACACTTCTTGCTGACTACCTGATTAACATTTTAAACTTCTTTTATTTATGCTACCCCACTGTCAGGAAGACAAGTTAATTATGCCAATGCTGGTAAACACAGGATGTCCTTCATGTAATGCTAAATGTTTCCCAATTAGATAGATAAATGGAGGCATCTCAGGATTTGGTGCCTTAAAGCTGAGTTGTACAGCCCTTCAGAGAGCTGTTCCAAAGGACTTCCAGGCTGCCTAATTTTGGTAAATATCCAGTATGGCTTCTTTACAATGTTTTTGTCAGGCTGTAAAAACCAGCCTTCTCTGGAAAAGCTGCTCTCCTGGTTTAAACACCCGTTGTCCATCTGCTAGCCTGCAGGCTAGCTGAGGACTCCACAGGTTCTCTCTCATCCCTTCCACACCTCCCAAGTGTGTTGGGCACATCCCCTTGGACAGCCGGCCCTTGCCACCAGCCTGTCACCACAGCACCCAGCACTGTCCTGCGCAGCAGCCAGGCCGCTGCTCCACAAAGGTTGGAGTGCTTTGATCTCAGCTGCTGCCTTCTGCAGACAGGGCTTTCTTTGAAGCACTTTTAGCATCATCTGTACATAATCTAAATCAATGTACAGCTTCCTAAGCCTGCAGGCTTCCCCATCCATTTGTTGCTTACAGATTTCCAGACGGCTGAAATGGACGCACTTGGAAGGTATACAATAAGGAGGTATGTTAGGCAGGTGGCTATGGTCTGTGAAAAGTGGAAAAACACCTTTGCCAGACACAGCAGAAAAAGGACTCTGGCCTTTTATTTAGGCCTGCATGGTGATCTGACAAACACCCAGTGAGATACACATTAAAATAATTAAAAAAAACCAAATGAACACTGGAATACTGATTGGGTTTATAAATGAGCAGTCCTCACAAAATCACTGTGGCAAGTAAATACTCCAGTAGAATTTTCTGTTGGGAAAAAGACCAGGTACTGCATTTCCCTAACAAGTGGTAGATGTTTCTAATGTAAATCCAAATAAACCCAATAAATCTGTATTGGCCACATGCTAAAAATGTTGCCAGAAAAAAGTTCTCCAACTGCGAAAGGAAAGGTGTGACAGAGCCATTGCACTGAGCTTCTTGTAAAGAAACTGATGATTGTTTTAAAAACAAAATACAACACAAACTAACCTGTAACTTTAATTTCATACTCTACTTAATGGATTATGCAGAACTTTGGCAAATAAAGCACCACATGAGCAGCTATTGTATTCCCAGTGTAACGTGATGTAACATGTGTTTACTGCCACATGGCTACATGCTGATCAGTTAAACACCTTTGCCTGTGGGAACTCCAAAGCATTGCAACAGTATAGACCAGTTTGCCCTGAGGTTGCCAGTACATATACATGTCATCTGTCAAAACTTAGAGGGAGTAACCATCCAATTACAAAATATAGAAAGTGGTTTTATTTAATGTTGGTTTTTATTGTACCACTCATCAAAGTTTTAGTAGTACTGAACAGCTGCAATATTTGATTTTCACAAAGCAATTGTTTGGTCGCATAGAGTAGATAATAGCTGCAAGAGGTCCTGTGGTTAGAGCAAACTAGGAGTGCCCAACAGAAACCAGTGGAACATAGTTCTTGGAAGTGAACATCAAAATTTTGTTTAAAAAACAAAAAGTCTTGGTTTTTAACAGCTGTTTATTTATGCATCGTGTTAGCTTAATAAAAATACTTGAAAGAGTATCCTACCTGAAGTTACACACTTTTCAGTACCATAGTAACAGTTAAGTTCATTAAATGAAAGATTTTTTGAAGCCCAATAGATTTTAAGGCTTGTGATGCTCGAGGGATTTGGTTACTACATAGCTCATCTAAACCGTCTGAGCCTTTGGGCTACAATATTGTGTATTTTTAACAAGCTGTCCTTGCACTCATGCAAGAGAACACTATTGCCGTTGATTGACCTTTAGATAACAAGTGCCTCCTCCGTGGTTACATGCGGGTGTACGACATAAGATGATTTTAAAGATTTCCTAAGTAAACTAAAAGAATATAGGCAAAACTTGGTTTTAGAGTTGGATTTTACGTACGCTATGCATACTTCAGAGCATTCACAGTATTACTGGTTTTTCTTTCAAGACACATATGCTGGTGCTGCAGCAAAAGGCACAGCTCAGACTGTTGAACACTCTATAAACATTAAGAGCAACTGATACTACCTTTAGATTACTTTTGTTATGCTTTTACCAAACAGGAATGGTTAGTAGGAAGCCTAAATCCTGCTATGGAAAATGAAGAAAGCATTAAGAAGGATGGTGAAGTATATCAGTATTGTTCTGTAAAGCTACCCAATGGAGAACAAAAGAGTGAAAGTCTAGGTTCCAAATCTGCTAAGATTTTACACAGAAGCAACTTACTACGAAAATGAAAGTTCTTATTTTTATTAGGAATAGTCCTTACTTAACAAAAGGATCCCATTAAATGCCTGTTTATAGAAGGTCCAAACAAACTCATATTAGGGTGTTTCTTTTATTACTGCAATTCATAGTCCTGCTGTGTAAGATACTGTATACCTAATGCCATGCAATCATGGAAAACAACAGGATTGACTGCCTCTTCTATTAAATAATTTATATTTTGGTTATCATCTAATATTTATCTGAAATTTGTCATTACTATTTAATGTGATTTTTTTTCATCTCCACTTAAAATACTATTCCTTTTTCTTAAACTTACCATTGCCCATTAAGTAAAATAGACATTTATATCCCTGTATTTCTGCATATGCATTAAAATAATTATTTTTGTCATCTTCGAAAGTCAATTGGACTGCAGTCAATTACCCAGGCTTTAGCATACCACTTCAAAATTGGCGTTTGTTGATAACTTAAGAGCTGCTTTGTCATATTCACCAGCTGTCCATCACTTGTAAATAGTAACAGTTGACTGATCTCTGCTGAATTTGACACATACACAGACACACAACCTGATGTGACCTGCTGTTAGTCAATCCTAATTCTTCACTAGTGAAAAGCTGACTGATGACGAAGGAGGATTTTATTACTGCAGTTTCAGAGATGGAAGTATTCAGAAAACTGGCCAATTAAATAGGTATCTAGTGTTAAAAAGAATATTCTATTAACCCAAATCCAAGTTCTGAGGAGGTTCTGTAAGTAGCTTGAAAGAGACAAGAATTGCTGGAGTTATTTGTTGTGCCTGTAACACCCTTGAATGGGAGGAGTTCTGTGGAGACACCTATGCTGTGCCTTTCAGTTACCTCATTGTCATGAATATATATGTGCTTAGGTATGTAAGTGTTTTGGGGATTCTCCAATATGGGTTATGCTAAGTGCAAAGTGTAATACTAGGAGAAAAGAGGACTTCCTCCCCTCTCTTGCTCAACTGTTACTGAAATTAAGTTCCTCATTAATCCTCTGTTACTTAACTGCATCAAGGCTCAGCACTGAAATACTTCTTTTTGAAAGAGATAGATACAGTGATGAGGTCTGCCTTTCGGAAGACATAAAAACAGTTAATTTTTTTTTTTCCTTTTTTTTCTAGTGAATGAGATCATAGGAAGAGATATGTCACAGATCTCAGTGTCACATGGAACAACAGCAGCCAGCCAGTCTGCACGTACATGTCCTGGATCTCTGGAGGCAAGAATATCTGACGGAATCCAGTAACGGATAAGCTTGCAACTAAACGTCCCTGAAAACTTTACAGTTTCTCTGAATATTTCTTCATCCTCTTCCTCTTTAGACTTACTGTGCTTCCAACTCTGTGGCCTTTATGAACTGGAACAGTGGATCCTTGCAAAGCCCTTTTAGTGGGTTACATTTTTGATGTAGAGACAGAGCATTTTAATTATAGTTCCTCAAATGCTGTAAAGAGACTTCTTAAAATGGACACACAGAATCTACACCAGATATTTTAACTGTTTTAAAGTTATAAACAAGCTTTGCTTTTTGCATTTAAATAGAATACTTTCATATTGTAAGTGCTTCAGGTGTGTGGAGATGTTAGTTTGCTCTTATAATATTCACAGTACTGAATGTGGAAAAAGATTTAATGCACATCTTCAGTGTGCTGCTTTCCCTTAGAGGTAGTATAGTTTGTAACTGATGATTTGTAACAGCTTTTGGTCATTTTTGAAAGCCTTTAAAGCTTCTATTGTTTAATTATTTTTTTTTTTTACTACAATCTTCCAGTGGCAAATCATACCTGTCATCTGAAGCCAATGCCACGGAAGCCATTGTGTATAGAAATACTGTAGTGTTTTCTTTCTTAGATTCATAGGAAGCAAAGCCAAATGTAGATCTGCACTTGTTTATAAACTGAAAATGTTACTTGATAGGCTGCAAAAAGACCATTCCATCATGAAAGTGTTGGGATAGAAACGACATTCCAAAATTTAACTTTTATAACTTTGTGGATAATCTTCCTGTCCTTTATTAGCACAGGTTCCTTCTTGAAATAGCTTTTTCTTAGAAAGTTACATTTGTAATCAGATTTAAGCAGTAGGATTTTAGATTAAAGAACAGCAACATCAAAGCCATGATACAGGAGAAATTTCAATATTTGCTGAGGATCTAGGTGTTCCTGTTATCCCTGCAGAATACAGTTTTGAAATCACCAATTCAGTGGCATTCAAGTTTTCCATGCAATAAATGGTTTGATCACATCTCTATCTTTTATATGCTGTATGCCTGACCATGCCACTTGGAAGTCCTGAGGAGGTGACAGTTACAGTTCCTTAAATTTAAGATGTTTATAAATGTCAGTTTGCTAAAAAGTAATTTACTGTGAATTAGGGATTAGCGACTGTAATTTTGCCCTTGTTTAATAGTGAATGTGGGAAGCAGAAGCTACCAAAGAAAAACGCAAGATTCATCGCAGCAGTGCTATGCTTAAAGGGTTCATTTCCCTTCCCTGCATAATCTGATACCTTTGAGACAATCTGTTTACATAGTTATTAAAAATCTCAGGCCTCTATGATTAGAAAACTAGGAGAGGATCTGAAACTGCCCATGCAGGCCACAAATGCTTCCATTCGCCAGAAGGCACTGTTGTTTACAGAGCTTCCTGACATGGAACACACAGGGTACAGCAATCACAGCGAAGTAAGATCAGAAATAGACTTGAACCTCAAAACACTGAGAGTGTTAGTTCTAGTTCCCCATTTGGGTGAGCCATGATGCTCTAATGAAAATGAAAATACACTGAAAAATTTCCAAATATAGAAAGTGTATTTGCATTGAAACTAGTTCAGACAATTGTGGACATTTTAGCAGTTTAACACATGTGGAGCACATGACTCTTTTTGTAAAAAATTTTCCAGAGATTCTTAAAATGTCAGTAAAATGGTCTTAAAGTGGATACCAGAACTACATTCTAATACCTGTGAGAGCAAACACAGATTCTGCTACTGTTGCATTTTGGCAGATGGTCATGGGGGAAAAACTTTCCATTGAGCCTTTTGCAGGCACAACATTAGACCTACATTTAAGTCAGCAGCCGGGCAATACCATTAAAGTAACTGTAACTGCATCTTTCTAATAACCTGAATCATGAACTTTTTAGAAGACCATATATGAAGTGGGTGAAATTATAACCCTGTATTACGTACTTTCTTTTAAGAGTGCAGCCTAAGGCTACTATCTTGATGTTTCACAGTAATTTCAGACAACTTAATGCAAGGCCACTGTGTGCATGCTGGGAATCTTGAGCATCCTTTTTGTGAATGTATTGTTCAGTGGTGCAAATCTTTAAATTTGCAGGAAAAAAATGGGCAGGATTGTAATCTGAAAAGTGTGATACTTTAATTGTCCCTCAGCGATGGTGCTTTACTCTGTCCTCTACTCATTTACGTTTAAGGTCCTAGAAAAGGATTCACGTGCTCAGAAATACACCTACTTACATTTTTAACACCTTCAAAACAAAACAAACCACACAACACTGTAGTGGATGCAATTGTTTTCAGACTGTGTGCTGGTGGCAAGGCATGTTCCAGTTTTCATTCGTGTATTGGGTCTTTTGCATTAACTGTTGTTTGTAGGAGAATTCTAACTGAACAACTTTTCATACTGTATGGGATTTATGCTCCTTAATCCTGCTGGTACAGACTCTTCTTGCAAGTTCTCCAAGTAGCTGCAATTCACACTGTACCTAAAATATAGGAGCCCAAACAAACCGGAGTTGCTATGCACTAAATTTTCTGATGCCTTTAAATACCTTGATGCCTGTAGACATAGAGATGCTTTCCTATTTAAAAATGAAATTAAAAAACAAAAAATAGCTTTGGATACTAAAGCAGTTTTGTATTTGCCTTGTAAAAGCTTCAGTACAAGGGTCTTAATTTTATTTTAGCTTGTGTGATAACGTAGGTAAAGACTGTTAATCTTGTATAGTTTTAGTGATATAAAAAGCACACAATCTCTATTGGACTATGCAAATTGAATTAAACCACGGAACCCGACAACTGTTGATATTTTGTTGGCATCCACTTCCTTATTCTTAAAGTCCTTTCTTCTCCTGAATACTTTTCCAAAAGTTTTTAATGATTTAGATTATCCTGAAGGAAAGCCTTAATGATGAGGTAGCTTTTCTATAAGGAGGGTCAAAGGTCAATGTTAAAAACAAAAAGTTAAGGGGGTAATACCTTCAACCAGGGGGATAAGGGGTGATTTCTGAGGTCACCACAAACTAGCAATCTGAATTTCTTTAGTAAAACTTACATGTTATCAGGGGAACTGCCATCCTTTTTAAACCAAAGAATGGAAATAACATCGCAGTTTTGTTCTTATATAAACAAAGCTTTGAAACTCTATTTTTGATACTCATAATGGATGCCGTTCCTTGAGGTTCGGAAATCGTTCAAATTGAAGTTTTATATTTAAAAATGTGGGACAATAAAGATTAAGTAAGTACTAGATGTTTACAGAGCCTTGTATTGTAATTTCATGTACATTTTGTATTTTAAACATTTTTGTAAGTTATGATTGCAGTGCTACTTGCAGAAATAATAAAAGGAAAAACTCGCATTTAGGCTCTTAAATCATAGTGTTCAAATAAATAAAAAGAATGCAAATGCATTGTCATTTATTTAAAATGCAGACCCAAACTCAGGGTGGGAAGAAACTCCCCATTTGCAATGCAGCAGTAAACAGCTATGTGCAGTTTATGCCATAGGACATGAGGGACATGTAAAATTCCCCCTAGAAGAGTAGTGATTCCAAAGCAACAGGAGAAGAGTTTGGGGCTCAACTTGGAGCCAGCAACAGTGAGTGCATACACATGTAATGAACAAGCACCAGTGCTGACAGCGTACCAGTCTGCACAATAACTGGTGATCCCCTATTCGCATGTTTCATTGTTCCAGTTAGATGATCACAAGGTTATTCTGAGAAATTACTCCAGAAATCACTATTCAGAGACCACATCATAAACAGTAATTGCCATTCCTGAAGGATATTACCATAGAGAAGATGCAGTTAAACTGTTTCAGAAATAGATATAAAATTCCTGTTACTTTACATAATTTGCCAAATCTCAGCTGAACCAGCAGAGCTGAGGGAAATGCCTTTGGGAACGGTACATTGAGTCAGGCCTTAAAAGCTCTCTCTCATCTCACTGATACAAGTGCTACTGAAAAGACTTCTGTCTCCCTTGCAGTTGTGTTTACAGGGTCTTCTACTTCTCTGTGGAAGTACACGGTAATGTACACAAGTGTTCCAAACTCAGCACTGGCCTTTGGTTGGGAACGCAAAAAGGAGCAGTGATCACACAGTTATCTACACGCATTGCCAAGGGAGAACACAGGCCAGTTTGGGATTAGCCTCTTAGAGTGCACATCTCAACTGGTTACCTTCACCAATGTTTTTTGTCTATAAATACAGCAGAAAGGGGTGTGTGCAGTGCCAATAAATGAACACAAAGTAATTATATCTTTTTTACTAAAAATAGCACAAGCTGTTCCACATGTTCTCTAGTATGATTACCCAGTATATAATTAGCACGTACCAGCACTAGTAATAATCCGTGGATTGCCAGCATATACTTTAGTGTCAATTTAAGTCTTCTTTCAGATGTAAATAGGCTGAAGGCTGGTTCACCAAGATTGATGGGACAGAAGAGATGGTAGGATGTGCAGTCATGCCAGGGCATTTAAAGCAGAGTGTGGCTAACCCTGAGCACTCACACTGCCACATGGATCTGCTGTGCTTTATTCCAGGCATTGTGAAAACACCACTTCTACCTTGCAGAACACTGTTTTGTAATTTCAGGTAGTTGGAAAGGAGGAATGTCAGTTCCTTTGGAAAAGTAACCGGAAGTTCCTCTTTACTTAGGACCCAAACCCAAAGGAAGTGTGGGCAGAAATCAAGGCCTTTTACTTCTCTTACTGCAGCTAGTATTTCCTTACAACATTCCACTGCATTACTTGTGCTACCTACTCACAGTGCCACTGTATGCTCCAAATCCGGCACTTGCTCCACTGTAGCAATTAGGGAGGTTTGAGATCTTTTCCAAATGGTCCCCCCACCTGTTTTATTTGGCCTCTGGCTTTAATTAATTTACAGGAAGAATAGTCAGGAACTAGCCACTGCTATAGTGATTAAAGTATTTAGGTGTGTGAAAGGCCATTAAAAGTTTAATCTTAGCATAGAAAAACAACATAGAAAAGAATAAATATTTTAATATTTAAATTACTGCATAGTTTTGCATACAGACTTCTCTGGTAATCGAAGTTTATTCTGCCTATTAAAAAGGCTAATGTTTATCAGTCATTCTTGGTACACAAAAAGCTTTGTGGTTTGCCAAGATTTTCCAAGAAACTAATTATTTTACAATAACCTACTATTACCTTTGTTATCGGTAACATCTGTTACATGTAAAGAGAACAGAAGGGAAAAAAATGAACAGACCTTAAGATTAAGAAGCAATCCAAATAGGATACTTGCTTTGCAAAGGTTTGTACATACCAGGAATTCTGTTTTAGAAAAGATTTGTCAAGCTATA